TTACCCTTTTAGCCAAACCTATTATGGAAGTCTTGAAAGAGGGCTACCCTAGCAAACCTTTTGTATCATTAACCCCAATACCCCCATGCATATGGGATATATTGAGTATGGTGATCAGATCATGATATGAATAAACATAACCGTTTAAATAATGCACCAGTAAGGCCTTTTCGTGAACCACCATGAGAATTTCGGGAGGGGGGGCTGAAGCCCCTCAAGCCCCCCCCCCCCTGGCTACATGCCTGGCTCCCACCATTCCTAACAGTCTCAAGGCGTGGGTTGCTGTGAGTTTTCGAAGCTGTATGGACTTCAACTCCCACCATTCCTAACAGCCTCTGGCCCTGAAGGGGACTGAAGGGGACTGAGGCTGTGCTGTCAAAAGCTTTCATGGCTGGAATCACTGAGTTGCTGGTTTTCCAAGCTGTATGGCCATGTTCCAGAAACATTCTCTTCAGACGTTTCGTCCACATCTATGGCAGGCATCCTCAACGTTTGTGAGGTATACTGGGAACTTAGCAAGGGAGGTTTATATATCTACAGAAGGTCCAAGGTGGGAGAAATAACTCTTTTCTGCTTGAGGCAAGTGTGGATGTTGCAATTAATAACCTTGACTGGTATTCTAAAGCCTTGCAGCTTCAAGGCCTGCCTGGAGGAATCCTTTGTTGGGAGGTGTTAGCTAGCCCTGATTGTTTCATGTCTGGAATTCTCCTGTTTTCAGAGTGTTGTTCTTTATTTACTGTCCTAATTTTAGAGCTTTTTTTAATGCTGGTAGTCAGATTTTGTTCATTTGCATGGTTTATGGGTAAAGGAACATGAAAGGCACTGCAGACTCATTCAACCAGAGAAGTTGAACCAACCTGGACACAGCATATTATTTGAGAACACAGAAATGCTGGACGACTCTAACAGCCACCATGCCAGACTACAGAGAGAAGCCATTGAAATCCACAAGAATGTGGACAATTTCAACAAAAATTGAAATTTCTGTTAATTTCTGTCACTTAAGCGCCTGAGGGGGGAAAGGAGAGGGCCTGAGGCTCTTAGGAATGGTAGGAGTAAAAGCCCATTAAGGAGAAGGTTGACTCAAGTGATACTGTACAAAAGGCTAGGATCTCTAAGAAGGTCACCCCTTTCCAAAAGGTTGTGATTTTTCCAAATAGTGTGAATGCCAATTAATTTCCAAAAGGGTCATGCTTCCAAGAGCTTGTGAAGATTCCTAGTTTCCCCAAAAGGTTATGAATGCCATTTTCCAAAAGATCTGATATATATTTAAAAAAATAACAACTGGTTTTATTCAGGACCATTATCTAGAATTAGGCGAAATAAATATGAGGATTGAATGAAAAGTAATGCCTCCACCTTTGTAACTCCTCAACAGATGGCAATACTGGTATGCGGCCTGTTCAGTAGACTCTCCTCTACAGTTCCATTTTGATGGGAAACCTTAGCATTGAACAGTTGTATTGTTAAAGTGCAAAGTATGGAACCCTGCGCAGACAGTCAGTCAATGCGACTTAAGCAGCGTGCAGTCATTGAATTCTTGAATGCAGAAGGTGTCACCCCAAAGGAGATTCATCAGAGAATGCAAGCTGTTTATGGTGATTGTGTTGATGTGAGTACTGTGCATCGTTGGGTGAGAAAGTTTAAAGATGTTGAGGTGGGAACATCTGACTTGCGTGACAAACAAAGAGTTGGATGTCCTGTGAAAGCAACCACCGAATTTCACAAGCAAAAGGTTGACAGATTGATTCAGGACGATCGTCATATCACTCAGAGAGAAATTTCAAGCATAACTGGCATTTCACAAGAACGTGTGAGCCACATTATTGTTTGGCTTGGCTATCGGAAGATCTGTGCACGATGGGTACCCAGGATGAGAGAACTGTGAGACGCTGGTTGCGGAAAAAGAGTGTTGACTTCTTCTGTGACGGCTTCAAAGTTGGCAGAAATGTATCCAATTGTCTGGTGATTATGTGGAAAAATTAATAGTGATAGTTAAAGAGCACATTTGAAGGATTATTTCTGCGTTTGATTTATTAAAATATCCCCATCCAAAGTAACGAAGGTGGAGGCATTACTTTTCATTCAATCCTCGTGTCTTTGGTTCCGAGACAAACGCATTCTCAAATGAAGGGATAAGACTCTGCCTTCCCAGGAAGCATAGTTTGAATGTATAATTTCTTCCGATCCATTCTATCTT